ATTTGACAAATTCATGTTGCGAAATGTAAAATCTCACCTCTTCAAGAAAAAATCGTGAGTAAATAATAATTTGATCTTTGTCAATTTTAAAAGTGAGTAACTAATCACAATTAGTTCAATATGATTAGAAGATTTTTTTAGTTTAATATGGTGGTCACACGTAGAATTTTGATTAGTAAAAAATCTCGTTGCGAAAACGAAATTCGCGTTGTGAATTTGAAAACTGAGTTGCGAATAGTTGTGTTTACCTATATCGGTAATTAGCGTTGCGAATTTGAGAATCGCGTTGCGAGAGTTGCGAATAGTTGTGTTTACCTATATCGGTAATTAGCGTTGTGAATTTGAAGAATCGCATTGCGAATTTAGAAACTGTGTTGCGAAATTAGAGTTCGCGTTATGAATTTGTTGGTTATTTTCGCAAATCCAAAAAAAATAGTTAAAATCGTATATTATAAGGTATTTTCGGTTACTGAAGTTATTTTCTCTAAAACTTATTACTTTTCCTGTACTCTTTGGTGCAACACTCGACATGTCGCCAGCCACTGCTGTCAACCACACCAGTTGGGTTATTATTGCATTTGCCTCTGGTTTTATTGCTTTTAGATATTATCGTAGCTGGTGGAGTAGCCGGATTGGCCTTCATGGGTGTATTGCTTTACTTATGCTTAGGGATGGAGCATGTTACCCTTAGTTGGTGGGGTGGTGGTTCAGATCATCGTCCTTTGGCTTCTTGCCCAACCGCCCAAGGAACCATAGTTAAAGGCTGCCCTGTTTTCTGAGTGAAGCAACTGTAATCTCAAAGCTCCTTCACTCAAATTGTATCATTTGAATGATTATGCATCCACGGCAGATTTGTAATAAGCATTCATTCGAGAATGGACCGTTCTGGTACGCTCGCCGTAAGTAATGGGAAGTAGATACATGTTTATATTTGATACACTATCGATGTACCTGATAAATTGTCTGTGGACAAGATAACAGATTGCATGAATATAAGCCAATAAGAGTAAAGCAAGGTTTGCATAAATAGCTCCTTTGGCTTGTCCTTCAAAATATAACAAATCTTTCTGTCTTACGAAGTTTTTTATCTACCCATGAACAGTCTAGTGTCGGTCCGATCCGGACTCGACCGGGTCGGACCGACTACCCGACTTATGGATAGATCTAACTAATATTCCAAAATTAAGAAATGACTTTTGAAATGGAAAATAATTAAGGGGTTTTTACTTCTTTCGAAGAGAAAGCATTAGGGTGAGGACACAACTAAGAAAGTTAACTGCAGATTAAGGTAGTCTTTTGCAGCAGCGGTAGTACACTAATTACTTAATGATGCTTGCAATAATTGATTGCATTTGCTCGGAATTAATTATATAGGGTTTCTTTTCTTAGCGCAAAGCATGATGCTCGTGTGTCTGATTTAGAGTTAACATGTGGATGGTTATGGTCATATTAAGTCTGCCAGCAAGTTTTGGTTCTTTTGATAAGATACTCATCAAATTTGATCCAAGTCAGTCCATCCTCCACCAACATCTTGAATAAATTAATGTTGACTAATGTCGTTATCTATGTATTATATAGAAAGATAAATGATCGAGTATACTTAAATGTTTAAAGATACTCATCAAATTTGATCCAAGTCAGTCCATCCTCCACCAACATCTTGAATAAATTAATGTTGACTAATGTCGTTATCTATGTATTATATAGAAAGATAAATGATCGAGTATACTTAAATGTTTAATCATTGAACAAGTTTTTTCAAACAAAAGTCAATACACCAAGATCAGTACAATTACAGATGATAACAAATCAAGTCTAATCAAATTTTTGATGGACCAGAATTCAATCTAAAAACTAAAACCTTCAATCCGTACGGACTACGACAACACCCTCGAAATTTCGAAATCCCAGCTTGGCCTCCTTTCCTGAGGAAAGTGCATTTGCAGATTCAAGCGGTATTTTGCAGTAATATTTTAATTACAGGCAAAACAGGGGAAAGTGCATTCCAGGAGGCTAGCTTCGTCATTAAAACCGAAATATAGTAACCTAACGTTTTTATGTTCAGAGTAGTGAAGTGTTTAACTTGAGGAAAGAAACAAACCCAGAAGGGGAAAAAAAGAAGCTTTTTTTCTGTGAAAAATGGTTCCTTTGAAGATGAATGAGCCTCCATTGGTGAAAGTTGCAGTGGTGAAAGTAACAGATATTTTGACTAATAAGTAAATAATTTACTAGTCATTTCTTTTCTTTTTTCTTCTACTGTTTTGTTAAGTTGCTTCAAAATTTCCGGAGGAAAAAAAGAGTTGATCTGAGGAAGAAAAATGGGGTGTTGGTACTCGAGGATCGACAGAGAAGAGATTGTTTCGCGTTCCAAGGCGAGAAAGCGGTACATGAAGCAGTTGGTTAAAGCTCGACAAGCTCTTGCTTCTTCACATTCTATGTATCTGCGCTCTTTACGAGGTACAGGCTCTGCTCTCCTTCAATTTTCCAACAATGAAACTACTACTCCCCGCCTCTACAACCACCACAACCATACACCTCCGCCGCCGATGAGTCCTGGTTCAGACACTTGGACATCTTCTACCATCGCCTCCGTTGTTCTTCGGCCGCCGCCGCCTCCTCCACCCCAGTCCAGTAACTGGGACTTCTGGGATCCGTTTGTTCCAGCTACGGAGTCACGGTTAGCCACGGAGGATGAATGGGAGGCCGCCACGTCAGTGTCTGAGGCGGTGGTCACAGCTACAACTCCAACAATCAGGGCTGTGAGCATGGCGGCTCCCCCTTCTGCGGTGACTGGGTTCACGAAAGATACTGAAAGTGAGCTTGCTATGGTGGTGTCGAGAAACAGTAAAGAATTGGTGGAGATCGTGAAAGAGGTTGATGAGTATTTTCTCAAAGCTGCTGATGCTGGTAGCCAGCTCTCGTTGCTATTAGAAGTTTCAAGTCCCAATTTCCCTGCTCAAAGTAAATGACTTAAATGTCTCTCTCTCCTTTTCTGTTTGTTTTTTTCATTTCATCCTGGTTATTCGATCGTTCCTTGTTGTAGGCAAAGGGCATAACTATGGCACTGTCCTTAGCAGAAGCCATTCTTCTACCATAGAGAGATTGTATGCTTGGGAGAAGAAATTATACCAAGAGGTCAAGGTATATATTTTGTCCATATGTGAAGAATGATCTAACATTTTTGTAGGCAAAAGAGTGATTTTTTGTTTTTGGTGATTTTGTTTAGAATGCTGAGACTATAAAGATGGAGCATGAGAAGAGGGTGGTCCGGTTGAGGAAGCTGGAGTTGAAGAGAGCCGAGTATGTGAAGACTGAGAAGACTAAGAAAGAGATTGAAAAATTAGAATCCCAAATGATGGTTGCTTCACAGGCCATTAAGACTATATCAACAGAAATCATCCAATTAAGAGAGTCTGAGCTTTATCCGCAACTCTTGGACCTTGTAAAAGGGTTAGTCCTGCTTATTTATCATTCTGCTTCGTGTACTCGTTCCGGTTTGAGTCCTGCCGAGTTTGCATCTGAATGTCTTGCATCAGATCGAGTAAAAAAAGGAAATTTCTCGGGACCCTTGATTCTTGTAATCTGCATAGAAATAGGTACTCATGATGTTATTTCTTTTGCTTGTTGTGCAGATTGATGTGCATGTGGAGAAGCATGTATGAGATCCACCAAGTTCACACGCACATAGTTCAGCAGCTTAAATACCTTAAGTTTATACCTTCTAACGAGCCAACAGCCGAGGTTCACAGGCAATCGACTCTACAGCTCGAGTTCGAAGTCCAGCAGTGGCATTCTTCTTTCTGCAACTTAGTCAAGGCTCAACGGGACTACATTCAGTCCCTGGCGGGCTGGCTCCGGCTTAGTCTGTTCCAGTTCAGCAAAGACCCCCTTTTAAGAAACAGCGAAGAATCGAAAATTTACTCGTTTTGTGAAGGTGGCATCTTGCAGTCGACAGAATTCCAGATAAGGTAGCATCCGAAGGAATCAAGAGCTTCTTGACCGTAATCCACACCATTGTGATACAACAAGCACAAAAGCATAAACAAAAGAAGAAGGCTGATTCGACGAGTAAAGAATTCGAGAAGAAGGTAGCCAAGCTTAGATCACTTGAAAGCAAGCATGGCTCCTTTTCCATGCCTGAAATGAGCAAATACCCGGTTACAGAAAAACGAACAAAGGTGGAAATGCTGAGAGCCAAGGCAGCGGAGGAGAAGAATAAACACGAGAAGTTGGTGAGCGTGACGAGGGCGATGACTTTAAATAACCTCCAGATGGGGTTTCCCCACGTCTTCCAGGCAATGGTAGGGTTTTCGAGTGTATGTATGCAAGCATTTGAATCTGTCTACAACCAGGCCAAGGCCATTGGTGAGGACCATGATGTGAAGAGAATACTCCCTTGAGAGGCTTACTGGAAAACAAAATGGTTATACCTCGGAATGGATACCTGGTTTGGTACATTAATGCCACCTTGTTCGGAACTCGGATCGGAGTCTGGACTCCATAGAAGCGGTGCACTGGTGATTTTCGATACCAGACTCCGGAGAAGTGATGCACATGTGATTTTCGATATGGTATAGGAAGTAGGAGATTTCCGGTCAAGTAGGAATTGTATACCTTGTTTTGTTCTCTGCCTTTTGAATCAAGAAATCAGTTTTTACCATCACTTAATTGCTTTAAAAATATATATTTCCTCGATGGATCGACCTGAAAAATTAATGACGGGTGATTATAAAAAAAATAAAATGCAACGTTAAATATAATTTTATTTGAAAAATAAGACAGTTAAGTGACCAAAACAAAAACATGAGAATATATAGGTGACCAAATAAGTAGATTACCCCAAAAAAAACTTTTGTATGAAACCCGTTTCCTTCACGCTGTGATTTAGAATCCTAATGTCGCAAAACACCCGGCCCGGATCTGATCTGCTGTACAGTAACTTAAAAAAGGATGCAAAAATAGAAATGGGGAAAGATATTATTAGTTGGCTAAGACCGGTTCGCTCAGCGAACGCTTTCAAACGGTATAATTTCCCGTTCCAAGCATTCAAAGAACGAAAACAAACTCAAAAAATTCCAGGAAAACTTTCCCTTTTTTCTAGGGTTAGCTGATTCTCCATTTTCCTCTTTTGGTTTCAATCCATTTTCTTTAATTTCAACATTGATTCCCTTCGACCCTTTCTTTGTATTTCTTTAAGTGTTATTACCTAACTGGTGGACGCAGGTGACTGGTTGAAGAAGAAAAGTAGTAATCTTGTTGAGTTTTCATTAGCGGGTTCAAGCTTTGTCCTCAGGTGTTAAGATCCGAGGCTGTTCTTTTCGCTTGAGTGAAAAAAAGGAAAGAAAAGAAAATGAGTGCTGCCAGGTTTATAAAGTGCGTGACTGTTGGTGATGGTGCCGTTGGTAAAACTTGTTTGCTGATTTCTTACACAAGCAACACTTTTCCTACTGTAATTGTCTCTTCTTCTTCTCTTTTAAAGTGCTTTTTTAGCATGAGGAAATTTTATGAACTGGTGAAGTGAAAGTAGGGTTTTTTTGGGGTTTAATTTTCGAAGTTGCTGATTTGCTGCCCAATATGATTTTTACGAGGATTTTCCGGTTAAAGACTAGTTTTAGTGTTTTTTGAGCTGATTTTATCAGTGAATTCAGTTTAGGAAAAGCTTATTAAAATTATAGGCCTTTATGGAATACCATTTACTGAAATTTTACAGAGCAACTTGAAGGAAAGGGGAAATTATGACAATGCGTAATTTAATAAACAAACATGAAAAAACACTTAAATGTTTCAATTGCAAAGTTTCAGGCCATTTTTTGATCCTGTCTTTGTATATTTGGTCTTGATAAACATAAGAATGCTTTTACACTTTGTCTTGCATTTTAATTGTGGTGGTAAACAGGACTATGTGCCCACTGTTTTTGACAATTTCAGTGCTAATGTTGTTGTCAATGGGAGTACTGTGAATCTGGGGTTGTGGGATACTGCAGGTACTTTGGACATGGACCTTTTGCGTTCTTTTTACCTCAATCTCATTGTTAGAACCATTGTGGAGACTAGAAATAAGGGTTTAAGTTTGCAATTTTGGGCTACAGGACAGGAAGATTATAACAGATTAAGACCTCTGAGTTACCGTGGGGCGGATGTGTTCATATTGACATTTTCTCTCATTAGCAAGGCCAGTTATGAAAATGTCTCCAAAAAGGTTAGATGTAGTTTTTTTTTAATTTCCAAATTCAAACACAGAGAAGTGGTTTGTACCTTGACTTTAAATTTATTTCTTGATGATAATCATGTGCTTGGCGTGTTTCCAGTGGATTCCAGAGTTAAAACATTATGCCCCTGGTGTTCCAATAATTCTTGTTGGAACTAAGCTTGGTAAGTTAAAACATCAAGTGCTTTAGCTTCTATAATTTTCGTTCAAATAGCTACTTCCAAACAATGCTCTCAATTGTGAAGTTTTAGACTTTAGACATTGATGCCATGGTTAGATTAGGCTTTTAGTATTAGAATAATTTTTGCTTCTGGCTTTATGCTAGATCATTATGAACAATCCAATGATCCACACATGGATAATGTTCATTTTCTTTTTCGTGTTTTTCCAAATGAACCAGATCTTCGGGATGATAAGCAGTTCTTTATCGATCATCCTGGAGCTGTACCCATTTCTACGGCCCAGGTAAAGGATTTTGCTTTAGTTCAGATTTTTCCCATTGTATGGACTTGGACTTCTATGATTTGCAACTATCTAATCCTTACCTTTCCTTCCCTTTTTTCCTTCTGAATCTGTAAGGGAGAAGAACTGAGGAAGCAGATTGGTTCACCTGCTTATATCGAATGCAGTTCAAAAACACAGGAGGTATGCATTGTTTCGTAAATATGGTCATTCATACAAGGGAATATGCTTTGTTTTTAAGGGATTCATTGACTTCTCCGCAGAATGTGAAGGCAGTTTTTGATGCAGCCATCAGAGTTGTTCTTCAACCACCCAAGCAAAAGAAAAAGAAGAGCAAAGCACAGAAGGCCTGCTCCATATTGTAACTGGAAAAAGAAAATGTGAAAAGATTACTAGAATCCCCCGGAGTATAGTCTCTCTCGTGACTGACAATCCCGGATCTCTGTGAAGTATCTGTTGGTGTAGCGTATTACTGTATTGCAACTGTTGTGTTATCGTATTGTTGAAACAAAGTACATGGATGTCATCGTTCTTTCGAATCGTTTTCGATATGCTTCTGTATTAATGCCACTGGAACATCCCGGTTAGGAAGTTGCAGAGACAATTGCAATATTATTGATGTATTGCTTTTAAAAAGGCTTGTTTACTTGTGCTTAGTTTCTTGCAACATTGTTGTTTCTAGTTTTATGTAGATATAAGTTACTGAACTATTAATTTCTAAGTTAAATCAGAGTAATTTTTGTTTTTATAAAGTATGATGATCATTTTTTTACAAATTAAAGTAAAAAGACTAATTTTATAATTTTCATAAAATAAAGGGATGACATTTGTAATTAGACCTGAAAAAAATACGAATTGTGAGCATAACCAAAAAAGGGACGGTGTAAATCCGATCGTATTAGACATCTAGAAAAATGAAAGGCCGTGATCAGAGTACAACATAGAAATGCGTAGCACAGGATCACTTCGAGCGAAGGTGAGACTTGAATGGCGTTTGGCTCACGAAACAGGTCAAAATGACCTCGACAACAATTAAGAAGCGTCTCCTAGTAAGAGAAAACGAGCAAATTAGGATTCAGAAAAGATCAGAGCAATAGGGACCGTAAAGATGATCGCGGACGGAGTCGAAGACGAAGAGAAATGGCTCGCCGCCGGCATCGCCGGCCTCCAACAGAACGCTTTCTACATGCATCGCGCTTTGGTAACTCTCTTCTCATTTATTTTTGTTGTACGCCTTACTTGGTTGAAGGGAAAGTGAGATTATCAGGGACAATCCTTGCTTGCTTTGAGATTGTTACTTATTTTAACCGTAGAATCCCTAGCTTTTTGCAAGTTAGTGAAAATTTGGCACAATTTGTGATTTTGTTAGGATTCGAACAATCTCAGAGATGCTTTGAAGTACTCTGCTCAGATGTTATCAGAACTTCGAACCTCAAGTCTTTCCCCTCACAAATACTACTTATTATGTTAGCTCTTCTCTCCAAATCTGATCTCGATTTTGTATTAGATTCATGAACTGATTGGTGGTAGATTTCGTTTTCAACTGAGATTTTGAGTTTTTGGTTGATGGTTCAGATATGCGAGCATTTGATGAATTGAGGAAGGTGGAGATGTTTTTTAAGGAAGAGACAAGGCGGGGTTGCTCTATTGTCGATCTGTATGAGCTAGTACAACATGCTGGCAATATATTGCCTAGATTGTAAGTACAACTAACTTTCAAACTGTTTAAACTATTGAAACTCTCTCTAACATTCCGGCTCCTGAGTTGGCACTACAGTTGTATCTGCAGTGTGCTGAGGTATTTGGACCTCGTATATATTTACAAATCACAAATTAGATAATAACAAAATTGTAATAATATTTACAATGGATTTTTATTGATCAGGCTGCTAATGACTGTGATTTGGAACCCGTGGCAATTGAATTTTTCACACAAGCATACATTTTATACGAAGAAGAGATTTCAGTAAGTTGGTTGCAACCAGAGTATTAATATGCCTTGTTATGGAGCATATTCAACTTACATGCGTATTTCTGATAAAACATGGGAATTACTGGTTGATTTTTGCTAATAATTGCTTTTATAGGACTCAAGAGCACAGATTACTGCACTACATTTGATAATTGGAACGCTGCAAAGGATGCATGTCTTTGGTGTTGAAAATAGGGATACTTTAACTCACAAGGCTACAGGGGTAATCTTTCTATAATGTCAGTTGTCTAGAAAGCAGTTTAGCATCTTTTAATCTATGACTCGAACCTTTGTATTTGAGCAGTACTCTGCAAAACTTTTGAAGAAGCCTGATCAGTGCAGAGCTGTTTATGCATGCTCGCATCTCTTCTGGGTTGATGTCAGGATAGCGTGAGAGATGGAGAGAGGTAAGGTTGACCTTTATGTTCGTAATTTCATGTCTACATCGTGTTATGTGCATGTGCATCCCATCAGGTGCTTCTATCGCATCTGGATGTGGTTTTGTTGATTTTCCACTTTTCTTTGCTTTTGAATAGGGTCTTGCTTTGCCTTAAGCGGGCACTGAGAATTGCAAATGCTGCTCAACAAATGTCGAATGCAGCACGAGGTAGCACTGGATCAGTCATTCTCTTTGTTGAGATACTGAACAAGTACATCCCTGCAAACCCTGATTGCAAAGAACTTATATTTGGTTTGTTAAAATACTGTCCTAATCATTTACGACGGAAATTCGAACCTCGTTGTGTTGGTAGGTATCTTTATTTCTTTGAGAAGGGGAACCCCCAGATCAATGTCGCTGTGATCCAGAGTCTGATTGAATTGATAACAACTGAGATGCATAGTGACTCTAGCACACTGGATCCAGCAGCAGATGATTTCTTTGCCAGCACACTCAGTTATATAGAGTTTCAAAAACAGAAAGGTGGAGCGGTATGCGAAAAATACGAGCCCATCAAGGTGTGACGACGAGAGCTAATGTGACCTATTTTTTCTTTTTTAAAAAAAAAAATATTTACTCTTGATTTTTTTTTGTGCCAAAAAGAAACTGGATTTATAATACATGCCTCATTGGCCCTGGTGGCTAACTTACCAATTTCTTGCATAATATCATGGTTTGGTGCAAAGAAATGTGCTAGATTTTTTCACTCGGACTGTCGTGATTAACAGTTTGATATTAAACAATTACTTGTCAATGGAAAATATGTTGTGCCACATGCATGTAAGTTTACAGATTACGGTGTCGGAACAAGTTACACATAAAAACACGATATACTTGGTTTGTGTTTGCCTCAGGGATGGATCGAGGGGACGGCTGACTGTTGATGTCCCTAAAATTTTTAAATTATTAAATTAGTATATATTTTAATTATTTTTTTGTATTTTTATTGATAATATGTTTTATCTTCTAAAATGCCTCGTAACATATAATATTTGTGTACGTCCCTGATTTGTCTTGTTGTGAATCGATCGTCTCATGTAATGTATACCCGCCACTTTATGAAGTCGATATCATTGGAATCAGAGGAATTAAGACTCGACTTTGGAAATTCAAAGATTTCTTATCTGCGCATGGGTGTACACATTTATTGCATTCGTTTTCCTCTTCCTATAATAACCCCAAAATCTAACTTGAATAATGATTTGTAATTTGGTAATTTACTCCCCAAATGTGACTTTTTTTTCATTACCATAATGTCCCATTAATAATTTGGAGATTTCATGGAAAGGGTGAGGGTTTAATACTCTAATTTTAAATTTTAAATGGATGTAATAAGTATCTAAACAAAAAATGGATTAGGCTTAATTTGATTGACTATGAGATTGATAGGGACTTGAAAACTAATTAAACAAGAATGTTTGGAGTCAAGGTTTACTTTTGTTAGCTTGAATTTAATTTAATTATCTTCAAATCTGGTAGGAACCAACAAAATAATTAAACCAGATAAGTTTTGAGGGTTTAGGACCCCTCCCACATCCACCTAGTTCTGTCCCGGACTAAGGTGGATCCAGGGTTGGTTGGTTTAATCAAGTTGATTTGGTTATATACTTGAACTGATTTTGTTATATTGGATCCAAAGTTTGGTGCTTTATTGGATCCATAATTCTCTGACCCATAATGTGAGGCGTTTAGGGTAATTTCAGACTTCAACAATCCTTGCCCTACAAGTGTTCATCTTGCACCTTAGCTCGACTATATATATACCGAGGTTGTATTTAGGGTTTCCTATTTAGCTCATATATATATATATATATATACCGAGGTTGTATTTAGGGTTTCGTATTTGTTTCAAAACTCATAGCTCCCAGGTATGTTTCCCCCTCCATCTGTGGTATGCAGCTTATTTGTTTCTTCCATCTCTTGTACTTTAATTCGAATATTTAAATTAGATATAAGATTTCTGTACATGTAATTAACTTTGTTTTTCACCTTTAAGACTCGTTAGATTTTATTCAAGTTCGTCATAAAAGCAGCGGGTAGAACAAACAATGGCTGTGTGGTCTGATCTTCCGGCAGATTTGATGAGGAGCATTGATGACAAAATTCTATCTTATAAAGATCAAGTTAGATGCAGATGCGTGTGCTCTTCATGGAGGTCTGCCTTACCGGAGATGACTGGTTCAATGCCGGGGCTATTAGTGCCACTTAAAAGCGAAACCCAGACAGGCAGTAGAACGCCCTTCGGCTTCATTGACCCCTTCGAGAAGAAAGTCCATCGTCTTCGATTCTCCTATCCTCGAGGAACAGGAATGTTGTTTCGAGGATCTTGTCATGGTTGGGTAGTCAGCATAGAGGGCAGTTCTATTTATGTCATCAATCCACTCACGGGGGTTCATGAGATGCTTCCACCAATAATCGAACTTCCCGATCTAAGGAAATTCCGCCCTGATACTTGTACCCTGCGTGATTACATCCTAGACAAGGTATCGTTTTCATCAAGTCCTCAATCGAACAATTTCGTGGCCGTGGCTATATACGGTGATCGTGGAAGTTTGGCGTATTGTAAACGTAGGGACAGACAATGGACATTGATCCACCATGGAGGCTACTCTGATTTCATCTTTCATGGAGACCAGATATACACCGTGAACGGCAGCGGGAGTCTCGTTGTTTGCGACATCCAAAACCAGTCCCCGAAGGTTTGGGAATTAGTTCCGTCTAGTCTTAAACGCAAACGCAGGTTCTTATCATCCAATCCATCCAGGCTCTATCTAGTTGAATCTTCTGGTGGGCTATTAATGGTACAACGCATTGTCTCAATCAACGGAATTCACTACGAGACTCTGGGGTTCAGGGTCTTCAAGCTCGACACGAGTAGTCGAGAATGGCATCGAATAGTATCTACCGGCGAAGATGCATTGTTTTTGGGATGGAACGTATGCTTGTGCAGTAAATTGCGTGGATATGGTGGTGACTGCATATATTTTACGCACAAGAACATGGTGTGGCGACGGAGGAAGATGGCGTATGGTCCTGAAATAAGTGTGTTCAATTTGAGCAATGGGAGCTTCCAAGATTTGCCTAAGCAAAGCAGTGATTTAGAATCAGTGATTTGGTCCCCACCGGTTTGGTTCATTCCCACATATTAACGATGATTATCGAGTTTACGAGTGTCGTTTTATCATTCAATGTTTTATCTTTAAGTCGAATTATATATTTTAATTAAATCAAATATATTTATTTAAATTTTTATTCAAATCTACATGTAATTATTTATAATACTATAATATATCATAAGGAACAATTGGTGTGATTATATATTTCATAAAGAACAAGTGTATGGACGTGGCCTTTGATGGAAGTGTAACGGTTGAAGGAATTCGTGTCAAAGTTACTACGAAGATAAGATAAGATGACACGAAAATAAGATAAGATCTAATCAAATTTGATAACATTAAAATGAAATAAGATGATTTGGATTGATATAAAGATCATATATTAAATATATGTATTTGTTGGTATTTCATGACTATTTTGATAACACTTAAAAATCTTATTAAATGAGTATAATAAACCTATAAATATAAGTTGTGGTGTGTTGTTGAAAGAAAAAAATATGGAATAAGATGCTGGTATCTAAGTCGAGACTCGAGAGGGTTAGTTACTGAAATTTAATAAATTTATTAAAATTTTATGGATTATGTTTGTAAAAATTAAATTTATTTTTTAAAATATAAAGATTAAAATAATGGAAAATAAGAAAATATTAAAAAAATTAAAAAATTAACGACACAAACTTTTTTGGGGCGTTATTATATTAGAAACCCCATTAATTTTTTACAAGATGTGATGTCCTATTCACTTTTCATATTACGTAATTTAATATGATTATTTAATACCTCGCGTTTTCTAGAATGTGAGGTCCCTGAGATATTAAAACGTCCTGACAAATTTATCGCAAAAAGTATTCAATATACATCGCGTTTTCCAAAGAGCGAGAAATTTAATTTTCCAGCAAACCACAAGTGCTTATAGGCATGTTCGTTCGGGTATTTAATCTCGAAATTTTTGAATTAAAAAGATTCTTCGTGTAGTATTGGAATTTATCATCTAGTTGAGGCCAATATAAAGATATAAAAAATATTGCAGGCGGATTAAAAATCACATTGAAAATGATACCAAAGCTTGTTTTGTGCAAGAATAAGAAAATATAAAATCACGTTCAAAATAGATACAATGCTTGATTTTGTGCATACAAAACAAGCTAAAATGACTTGATAGACATGGCTAATATCGGCACATACGAGACATTTTAAGTGGTGTAATAATCGTTTTGAAAATTGTTTGAAATAAAAGTAGTACAATGAAAAAAAAACACAATAAGTTTGAGGGAACCAATGGAGGCATGTCATCTGTAGGTTTGATGCCTTAAGTAGAGGATGCCACTGGAAGAGGATGCCTTATTAGAAACATCGTGAGTTTGATGGAGAGTGGATCGGGGATAAAAATGGAATTTGGAAGCCATGCCCACCATTGTTAGATCCACGTCATGAGCGATAAGTTGAGGATGCCACCAACAGAGAATGCCTTCTTAGAAATAATTAGTTTCCTGAGAATGTCGAGATTTGATGGAATCAGATGTTTCCAGAGAAACCATCCGTAGTGAATGCAAGGCAAAAAGCTCATAAGATAAGTGAAGTTGTGTCATTTGTCAAATCACCTTCAAGAGCGAGCAAAGTCGTAGAGGATGGCACCCGAAGAGAATGTCTTTTATAAACATTGTTGGTTTAATGAAAAAGACGGAATTTATGAAACAAAAATTTTGTCGAGAAAGCCATATCTTTTATAAAAGACACTCTCTTCGAGTAGCATAACTTATAGAACCAATATTGATATAAGTTTAGTGCCAAGTTATGCCACTAGAAGAAAAGAAGTCTCTTATAAGTATAGACCGTGTTAAAATTTACAATATCAACAGAAGGGGAGATATTTATAATCAATAATCTTGCGTTGTGCAAAACGCGAGTTTTACAAAGATTCTTGACGTGGCAAGAAACTTGCACTTTGTAAAACGCAAGTTCCTTGGATATTCCTGACATGAAAGAGATTCTAAATGTGGCAGCAACATTTGATTTGACATGGCAAGTCTCGCATTCTAAAAGGAGCAAGATTTGGAGAAAATATGTCTATAAAAAATAAGACGGTGTCCATTTTGGATGAAAAACCTTTGTAAAACATATACTAATGGCGAGATTTTCTGCAAATGTGTTCTATTCTAGAACTCATTTCTACACTTCCTTTAATGCCAAGATTAAGAATGATGAGTTGTACGATTTGATTTCAATGGAGCTTAAAAAATCTACAACACAACAGATGCCTTCGTTGTAAGCTAAAGTTCTCGTGAGAAATACCAGTACTGAAGTACATTACATGTTGACCTTATCAAATACAAGCGATCTTCGGAAGATTTTTAAGCCTTACACACGAGTTTGTGATAAGAATATAGAGTTAACTGTAACGTTCGAGGAAGAACCATATTCAACAAGCAATGAAAGAGTAACCCGGCTATCACAAGACTATAAGGACGAAGAGCTAGTTCTGCTAGGTATTGTCCGTGAACATCGAAAGAGAGAGCTCTAAACAACTCGTGTAACTTTTTTTATTATGTTCTTAAATTAATATTAAAATAAATTTTAGTAAGTATAATGATTCTCAAGTTATTTATCCATCAAACCGAACAACTAATTATCATATTGTTCAAGGATAACTTAAACAAATTAATAATATAAAGTTAATTAATAATTTAAACAAATTTAAAAAACTAGAACATTATATTCGAATATTATATTTTTAAACAAAAAATAAAATGAAATTCGATTAACTAAAAATGTAGTTTGAATAACTAAAAAAATTACAAATTTAAACAACTAATGATGCATATGTCCGACAAGGATTTCTACAAATCAATCTATATTTGGGGCATCATCGTCACCACTACCACCACCACCATCATCTCCCTTATCTACATGGCCAGTACCACTACTGTCAATGAGACCAAGACCGATGTAGAATATGTTGTACGGTGGTGTCTGCTTAACATTACCAGAAGTCTCTTGCAAATGGTCGAACAAGTGCACATGGAGGTGACAGATAATATGGTTCAGCTGGTGCAGGAGGTCAATGAGAATGGACAATGACATCCATATAGGAACGAAATGTGTCGACAAAAAACCTTCTGTCAGAGGCGCCATATGTTGAAATGATGATGGAGTCGCCATATGTTGAAATGTTGACTAAGTCGAGTGGGTGAATATATGTGTCGTAAGTAGTGTTTGCTGCTCTATAGGTGCATGTGTCGTTCCCGATAGTGAGGATTGAGCGTGTTTTCATCTACTCTTACTTGATTCTCCTTTAACACCATGTTGCGTCGGGGGACGTTGCATGGGCGGATGGTTTGGGGGAGGCATATAAATTTCTTGTGTTCACTCCTCCTTAGTTAGTATATGTTGCATCTCATTTTGTTCGTACCACATCATGTAATCATTTGAAACACCGTAGGCCAAGTTGGGTTCAGAAACGAGCTGCTTAACGAACATCTTCATCCACTGCATCACTCAATCCATATGATACACCTCCCAATCAACATTCGTCTTCCCCTGTCGCGTTAGGCGATGCAAGGCTATGTCCAAGTTTGTTGGTGCTTCCGGAATCGTTTGGACATGACTAAATTACCGCAACACGCGATCATCAAGATGCCACTCGACGATATCATAGACTATCAACGAGACCACCGACATCCAAACATGCGAATTGTGACATATCTCATACGAAGTACACACTTTAATAGCATCGTCATTGTATGGCGTCCATACGAACTACAGAAATATTTTTAAACTATGTTAGAAAAACTCGAATAAAAAATTGATATTTGATTTATAAATTAAAATTATAAAATCGATTACCTCATCTATCATTTTATTGATCGACAATCTAAAGTATACTTTTTGGTAGGTGGGTGTGAGTAAGTGTGACGATCCACCTATCATTCATATAAAAAAATATAATTATTTGTAAAACTAAAAAACATATAGTAATAAATATATAAACATATGTTATTATTTGTAACTATCTCCGAAGTAGTGAAAATTTTAATGGGATCGGTTATGTAGGAATCAATGCTAAAAATGACATTTGAAACCAAGCCCACGATTCAAACATCCTCCAATTGCTTATTTGTTCGGATGAGCAACTTTGCATAGCTCCCGGAACAAAAAGGCTAACATTGTCGATCCATAAATCTTATTTTTAGCGGCCAACAAATCGTGTAGATGATACAACCACATCAGATTGACTTTGCTTCAGGATTTATTAGGCATCAAGATCCCCAATAACTTGTAAAATATGAGCATGAGCAAATTACTATAAAATAAAATTGGTGCAAATAGATTAAAAATTTATCATCAAAAAATTACAATAACATAAACTAAAAAAAATTTAAATATTATAAATAAATAAATTAAAACAAATAAACATAGATTTAAAAAATTACTTGTTTAATTTCTGGAGCAACATCGGGGGGAGCTGCGTAAAATTGTCGTCCAAAAATTTAATGTAGATCTTCCCTCCATCCAAATCGTCATGTGTCGTAGAAAGTCCGAGCAATTCCTCACACAAGTTTTCCAGTTTCCATGAGCAATATCGATAATAGGATTTTCGTCAAGGAAAATGAAACATGTACGTCTCCGGTCTCTACCGTTCTAGCAACGCATTTATCAATGGATGATGCAACTTCGTACCACCAATTAGAGTGACAACGTAACCAAAACCAGCTTTGTGCAAGTATGGAATAATATCGTCATCAGAGATTGGGAAATGGTTGATAAAACACATCAACAAACGTTTATGTCCCTTCAAATAAATAAATTGTATAAAATTATTAAATAAATAAATAAATTTTTCAAAAATAATTAAAAATTTAAAGTAAATAAATAAAATTTATCGTCAAATTATTCTGCAAATAGTGGCATACATGAGGAAGATCTTCCCTTAGTAGTCCTGCCATAATAATATCATAGAGAAAATATGTGAGAGAGTTTTTTTTAATGAATGTGTGAGAAATTCATATAGGAGTCCGTATTTATAATCGTCC